TTCGCAAAGCAAACTCAAGGTAGTCCTTACCAGGCTACCTTTCGTGACCTCAAATCCCTTCTCTGCTGTTTTCACCTCGGGATCAGCCGGCCACCGCACCACCGATCGGCCGCCACCCGTTCCCGGGCGCGTTGGATCCGCCTCGGCGAGGAGGAGCTTGTCGACCAGCTCGGTGAGCGGACGTCCTCGGCCGGACGGTGGGGGTGGTGGGGCGAGACCAAGAGAGGTTAAGTGACCTGAACTAGGACCCTACAGCGGTACCTATAGGGTAGTCGAACTAGGGTTCTTCAACCTCTGTTGGGAGGGTTGGGTGGCACTCATGATCTGCTGCATACCCCCAACACAAGAGGGTCTGCCGTGGAGTGGAGTGGAGCTGAGAGATGGTGGGCGGGTGGGGTGAGATCCGGTGCTGGGTGTGAACGAGGCCAAGTTCGGAGACCACAGGCCGAACTGGGCTGAGCCAGGGCACGTTCCCACCTGTCAGCCTCGGTCAGTGGGTCGAGGTCTTACCAGCGAGGTCCATCGCTGGAAGGACTGCCAGTTGGTCCAAAGGATGGCACTGGACCCCCCGAGATGTCCACTCATGTCCACACCACGCGCCGATGGGAGCTCTTTGGTTTGGTGGCGATTCTGAGAGCAACGATGGAATATGTCCATGAGGGATCATGAGACATCATGAGGGGTCTGGACATGTTCATCCCAACGACGAGTTGATGGAAGCGACGAGTTCTGAAGGCAGGTCAAGCTGTCCGCGCTGTTTGGCGCTGAGAAATCGCTGTCCGTGCATGGCGGGGTCGAGAACCGACAACACGATGGAACATCAAGCACCCCGAGGAATGGGTTCCATCCAGCAAAACTGCCAGACGACGAATCCGCACAATTTCCCCCCTTGACCATCGCATGGACCCTGAACATTACGTCCTCGAACACCCATCTTCCTGGAACTCCGTGGTAGGCAGAGAGCCCGGTCATGATGGTCGGGTAACCTTTTCGATCAATCAATTTCGCTTGGGGCAGAGTGACAAACACAACTGCTTTGGACTTTGGGATGCCAAATCTGGAAACAAAATACATGAAAAAACCTAACCTTATCTAACCATGTTCATTCCTGCTTCATCAAGCTGGGTACCATCCGCCTCGTTTCCCTCTGGGGCGGGCACCATCCGCGAAGTTGGAATCTGATGACGCCCATTGGAGCGGATCGGAGGGTGGCAAGAAGGAGGTGGGATGGGAAAAGTATGAACACGCCCATTCCCACCATCCAAATGTCAATATATCACGCTAAAGGTCCCAAGGGACATGGTGACGATTCTCTTCCTAGTAGAGTCAGGCGAAGGACAACTTCAGTCTTCACGGGTCTGTGGGAAAGAATTCGGCCCAACCCTGCTATACATGATGTAGTTCATGTGCAAACCAAGTGCTGTGTGGGGTCTGGGGTTAGCTGGGGCTCAAGGAGGAGGACAACACAAGGAGTAGCACACCATGTTAGCCCAGGAATGTGATTTTGCTCAGCACCACAAAGTACCAAACCCTAGACTTCCAAGACCATCAAAAGAATGGTTGACCTGGTTTTTGTAGTGTAAAATCCTTAGTTGATTCGGGATTCGGCCTATGAAATTAATCCTCTGAATAATAAACGCCCCAAAATAATGTCAGCAAATTTCCCTGCACTGATTAATCAAGGCCCCCAGAATAATGTCTTTTTTTGGGGGAGGGATATGTTTGGGAAAATATGTTTGTATTGTTGTTTATTGATGTTAGTCCTCTCTGGTTGTATGATTTTGAAGATCTCTGGATGCAGATTTCCTTCAACGATTAGAGATGTCCATTGCGATTTTGTACTTTTGAATTTTGAAGGTGTTTGAACGGAAATTGTTATTGTTCTTAAATTTGAGAACGGAAATTGTTATTGTTCTTAAATTTGAGATGTCCATTCAGATTTCAAGGTCTTTGGATGCAAATGTCCATTATTTAACCTTTTAGTGTCCCAACAATTCCAAACAGTATGTGCGCACTGTCTTTCCAAAAATCCTTATTCAACTAGACGACGGTTGGCCCGAGAGCGAGACATGTAATTGTCCAGCACTGTCGAAAAGATATATAGAAAGAGAGAAAGAGAGGGTGGATGTGAAGGAGTGACCGTGTGATGTGCAGGTGCGATGTAGAGCTGTAGATGCATGGAGGTGGAGAGGTAGATCTGTGGATGTGAGCGTGTGAAGATGTAAATGCACAGAGACGAGAGAAAAGATATGTAGAAAGAAAGAAAGACAGGACAGATGTGAAGGAGCGACAGTGTGGATGTACAGATGTGATATAGATGTGCAGATGTGTGGGTGTGGTGAGGTGGAGAGGTAGATCTGCGGATGTGAGCGAGTGAAGATGTAAATGTAGAGAGGTGAGGGGGTGTAGACGTAGATGCGTCGATGCAACGGCAGTGCAACGTCAACCTTAGTTGTGCAAGTACAACGCTGAAGAGGTTCAAAAAGAACTGAAGAACGTACATTTCACACTGAAGTTTCCACGAACAGGACGACCTGAGAGTAAACGACGTCACGATCATGACAAGCGACTCGTGTATTCCAAGCGAACATCGTTTGTCATGAAGGTGCAAGTACACACATAATAACGTCACGATGACTCTTTTGCGGCAGCCACTTATGAGTAAGCAAAGTAGCTAAAATTTGTCAACCTCTCAAGAGAGCCGGGTGGTCGGGAGACATGACTCAGCTGCAGGGGCGCCAGAGCAGCCGCGAGAGATGACTCAGCCACGAGAGATGACTCATCCGCGTACTAAAGTTGCACTACAAAGTCGC